TTATAAACTTCGAGATGTTGAAAGTACTCTTTGCTTACCACAGCCGCGTACAAATAGCTTGAAAAAAGTTTCATGTTTGACGGGGCACACATTTGGAATTCTTTACCAACCGAAATTAGAGAGAGCAACTCCATCATGTCCTTTGAAACTAAAATCGCTACTCATGCACACTTTTTAATACTCATATTTTTGAATAGCATTATTATTCTTATACTTATATATATATTTCTTACTGTATGCAATATCTTACTATATACTATATCGTTGTAATTTTATTATTGTACACGCCCCTTGTGGAAATCAGCCTAGGTTGACAATGGTTAGCGTGTTTAAATAAAAGTTTCTATCTATCTATCTTTAGAAGAAAATTATGCGAAACTGAATAACAAATTTCCCTCAACCAAAACAGATATTTTCCTAAACAGCTTGCTTGCAAATTGTTTGCAATTGTTTGCAGCATCAAAAGTATCTATGACAATTCTTATACAGTTACCCAATTTATGTGGAAGTAATTTAAAGTTTCACTGTGTTGTCTTTCATCGGTTGCTGAAATGTCATTGTCCTTGCTGCTGCTGTTGTAGTTTGGCAAAACGTTAATGAAATCGTTATAGTAAAGGAGACGGCGCCAGCCATTGAACACTTGTCTAAGTGAAGGGACCTCCAGGCAGACATATATTTAGGTTGACTAAAATTTTGTCTGATGTTTCAAGTTTTTGATAACCTAATCGCAATCATTTGAATTAATATTTGCAACAGGTTATTGTAATTCAACGATTACCTATCGCCGAAAGGCTAGCAAAGTCCTTTTGAGAAACTATTCATTGTTACCAACGTTGATAACCTGGAAAATTGCTAACAAAAACTCGAACCATTTTGTTTTTTGCCAGCAGAGCCCCAAAAAATATTTTCTTCCAACCATAACTGTTACAGTTCGAGCCACACTCTCTTACAATATGATAAATACGACCTGAATGTTCATGGACATCAAGATCTCCGTTAATTGTCAGGCTACGATCTTCTATAGCAAGACGGGTGCCTCCCTCATTCGATCTCCTCCAACTATCAGCGGCTTGTATTTTTACAATAAACAGTTTACCAGGTTTGGGGGCTTCTGCGTATTGCGGACCACTTGGTTCAAGCCAAGAAAATGGCGCCTTTATTTCAACTCCCTTTAAAACTTTTTTATCACCAATTAAACAGGATGACAATGGAAGAACCTTTACCAAAACGCTGTATTTCTTTAAAAGCCGAGCACAATTGTTCTTATGCCTTTTCCAGTCACTCCTTTGGCATTCTCGATTGCAGTATTTTGCGGTAAAACATCTAGTACATTTCTTTAATTGGCCTTGTTTGTGACAGAAGAAACAAATTTCAGAAACATCTTGCAAAGGTGGCCCACTTTCTATTTCTACGTTATTTTTTAATTTATTATCATTGCATTTTGCTTTTATAAAATTCTCTTCGCTTGCGAACAAGGCATCAAGACTCGGAATTACACTACCAATTTCATCATTATTTGAATTCGCTTCGTCAATACCAGGTCCTTGGTTGCCAAAAATCTCGTTGAATTCAACAATAGATTGTTGATGACCTGGGGCCTTTGTAATCGGTACAACATGAATACCACCACATTTGTTTTGATATATTTTATTTCGAGAAATACGGCACCAAGCATCACTAGTTTTTTCAATCCCCTGCCAACCGTTCTCAAAGATATCATTTTCTTTTATAACTGCGGATGAATTTTTACAAAGAAAAATCCCGTGCCGGTCATTGTGAAATATTTCATTGCGTGTGAGCTGTATCTTTCCGTTCTCAACAGCTACGCCGATTTTCTTGTTATCATAAATTTGACAACCCGTAACATCACACGTAGCAGACTTAACTTCTAAACCCCATTGATTCCCGTGAAGTTTGCTGTTCTTAAGGACAAGATTCCCAGGTTCAACAACTTTCAACCCAACAGACATGTTACCTGAAAAAACGGAGTCTTCAACCTCAGCGCTCCCAGCAGCGCACAAAGCAGTGCTTTTGCAATTGATAAACTGACATTTCTTGACACTTAGACTACCCTGTGACACAAAAGCAAGCTCATTTATATTACTGGTGAACGAACAGTTAAAAAGCATGACCATGGACTCACGCGCACACAACCAGTTTCCAAAGTTAAATATAAAAGAAAGGTTAACAGCGTAGAAATTTCGAGAGACCAATAAACCAAAGTTACTACCAAAGGATAGTGTTACAGCAGGTTCAGACGAGCTATGACCAACCCCAACAAGACAAACTCCACCGGTCCACAAGCATTTCTCCTCCAAGAATTGATCCTCATCAGTTCTAAGCCCGTCAAAACACTCCGTAGAGAGATAGTACTTTCCCGGCTCGAGAACAATGATTTTGCTCGGTATATCAGAAACAATTCCGTGTGCCAGCTGAGCAAGGGAAGAAATTAGTGAAGACATGTTATCACAGACATGAATGGATTGCTTTACATTAGGAAATGATGTTTGAAATGGTGGAAAGTGCTCAAATACATTCCGATTATGATAAAATGCTAAAGCTGAGGCACATACTGCATTCCACTTTTCATTCAAGCCTTGAAGAGCCAAGGCTTTCTTAGCATAACCTCTCCAACACTCAGAAAAGTACGTAATGTATTCCTCAGCATCCTTCAGGGCATTATTGAACTGCTTTAACCTGAGATAAGCAGAAGCACGGTTGCTAAGCAACCTAGGGTCAAAGGAATCTGTTCCTTGGCTTATATCGATACAAGAGGAATATATTTCTATAGCTTCTTGGAAATTACTTTCCTTGAAAAGATTGTTACCTTTCAAGCGCATTTTTTCAATTTCTGATTTCCTGGAATCATTAACAGAGGTTTTAGAAGTACCAGGATTGCTTGTGTCAAGTGGAGCCTTACATGAATATTGAATAAGCCTTCGAAAAGATTCAGTTAGAGGAAAAATATGTGGAAATAAAGCTTTTAACCCTTCCTCCGAAATCTTGGCGTCACCCCAGTCAAGAATACGATAAGCAAATTCGGCAACAGTTTTTGCCTCACTGGTATAATTATTCACATTCAAATGTAAGGCACATTCATAGACTATTCTTGCTACCTCTGGCAGAAAAACCGTTTTCTGTTCTGCATCACAGAAGATATTTAGAAACTTTTCGAGATTCTTGTTAATCTCATACGCATGTAAACAAATCTTACGCCATTTGTAGAAGCGCGAAGGATCAGTTGAATGAAGTGAAAATCGATCATTGTCTTCACTGCAGACTACACTTTCTACAAGTTCATCTGGAGAAGGACAATTTAAGAAGGCAAAACCCAACAAACGAGCTGCGTCAACAATGCTTTCAACTTTCTCTTCCGGCTCAAGATTTTCTCGAATGACCTCTTGGACTAAGCGATGAACTGTTAGGGAAGAGTCACGTGTTTCCTTAAAGAGCGAAAAATCAGTCAGGAGTCTCAGAACTTCAAGAGAACCTAACGAAGAGCTCACATGGTCACAATATGCTTTATCATCAACATGGGGTTCACCAACGTTAATAAGTTCCTTTTGAATTTCATTGGGATTCATAAACGCAGTAGCGTTGAGGAACCGAATGGCGACCATTCCATTTTTATTCTTCCTGATATGTTCAAAGTTCAGCAGCCATGTTGTATGAACCGCTAATCGGTCTTCAGATGTGCTGCAAGGCGAACTTGCTTTCTTGTTTTTGAGAAGTTGAAGAGACTGTTTATTGTATGATTCTAAATAGTCGGATAGGGTGCACCTAAGGTACTTGATATAAGCACAAGATTGTTCCAACGCCAACGGTAAACCACCAAGTTTCTCAAATAGAAGATCTGCAATCAGGTCTATATTAAAGAAAATATAATACATAAAATCAATAATACAAAATAATTGGCATTTGAATTAAAATTATACGTGTTACCATGAAGCTAGCTGATGAAAACATGACAAGCAGAAGCTAATTTTTAGCTAACGGATTCTTGTCTCCTAAATTATGGGGTAATACAAACTATGTACACATGTACATACGACAAATACGAACATTCTATTACGTCAGCAGGAAAATACATGAATACAGCAATACACAAATACGAACTTGCGTAAATACGAAATACAATACGTAACACGAAAATACCAAATAGAAAGATATATGTAAATACGTCAACACGAAAATGTGTAAATGTGTATATTAACCTTGTAATAATTTTGGTTTTCTAATTTAATGATGAAATTTTGTGTTGGAAATTAATTTGGTAAACAATTATAAGCCTTTGAGGTTATAGATTTTTGGAAACATAACATGCAAGTGTCAGCTATCTTTTCCAGAGGCTATTAATATTTTTTATTAATTATATAGTTTGATAATAATTGAAACATCCACATAACCTTTTTTGATAGAATTGTAAACAAACTCGCATGATACAATTACTAGCTTAAAATACGACTACAAAAGAATACTAATTAGGATGAACAATTATATAATCATACTAATTAGGACGAACAATTATATAAAGAATGCTAATGAAGATGAGTTTTATCAGATATAATATAGTCACTCCACGTGACATGTTATGGCTGACATGATTTGCCACAAGGTTTATGAATTTTTAATGAGTATTTTAAATATATTTAATATTTGTTGGCACTAAATTATTAGATATGCAATGCATTAAAGTAGATATGTGTTTGAAGTAACGCATTTGAGAGGGTAAGGTATTAGTGGATAAAAAGAAAGAAACTGCGTGAGATGAATATTCGCCAGAATATATTAGTCGAACGGCTGGTTTTGAATCCTCAAGATTTTAACATGAATCTCCGCTGCTTGACCCCATAAAACACTACCACACGAAATTCAAGGTAAAATTATAGACTTAATAATAACAATAAAACCTTTATTAATGTGTCAATCTGAAATAGCAGTATAAACAACAACCACTAATTGAGGACACCTAAATATAAGCTGAGCTGAATAATAATGTAATGTTATAAATATTAATTACATTACATTATTATTCAGCTCACTCCCTATGCATTGAGGCTATTCAGTGAATGATTACCACAAGTATTACGATTATTTATGTTACTTTATACTTAGCCCATTTTTACAACAACTGAGATATTACCTTCCTAACTGTGTTTATCCCAACCCACCCAGCCAGCTTGCCATGTGGGAAGAAACCATGCAGAGCACCCGGAGAAAACCCACGACTTTCGACAAAGTGTTGACTGCATGACCCTTTCACATGAGTCCATAGCGAGAATCGAACCCACGATATCAGCGGTTCTCAGTCTAACGACTGAGCCACCGAAGCGCCATTAAAGTATTTATTATTTATTATTACAGTACTAGTAAGAACAAAATGTCTCAATCTACCAGCAAAAATACCTAATATTGATTTGCTTATTTTACAAGCTATATGACTTATATGATATTTCCATGTGAGGTTACTATCAGTTAGTAACCCTAAGAATTTCATTTGAGCATAACACCCGATTGTACCTAAAATAATCATCGTTAAACGTTGGAAAATTCAGAAATCCGTTTATTTCACAAACTAAACATTTCGAATACCATCGCGTGGACCCTTAGGCTCAGATTCCAGCCGTTGGGCTGGAATCTGAGCCTAGTGGACCCCGTGAATATATGATTCGGTTATCTGAATTCTGCCACCATCACAACACTGCACTAAAAATGTGTCCATTCCTTTCTGCTGACTTAATTGAATACAAAAATACTGTAAGCTAACCTGTTTGTTCATCGCGAACAGTCTCTGTCCTTTTGAACACGAAATTCTTCGCCTCCTCTAAACCAAAGCATTCAAGGTTGAGGCACCTGGATTCTTTGAAATCAGATATATGCTCTTTTAACTCTTGTGACGTTCTTCGTGTTGTCATGATGAGATGACTAAAGCAGGCGACGTTTGATTGCCACGATCCCGATACCAATTTCAGTAAATTTTGTGAAAGAATAAACTCATCCATATCATCTATGATCATCAACCATGGTTTTGTAATGCGCGAAAATACTGCCAAAGTTTTGGACAATGTAGCCTCAAGTGAATTTTCATGAAGTGTGTTGAATTGCGCAGCTATATCATCAACGGTGGCTTTCAACTTGACATCGTCTTCCCCAGAAAACCAATAGACACCTCCTTGGTAATAATCTTTCCATTTGTGTATATATTCTGCAGTAAGACTTGTTTTCCCGTTTCCTCCTAGGCCAGATACGGCTGCTATGATTACTTTCTCTTCACTACTCCCATTGTCATTCATTAGAATATCTCGAAGCAAATCCAGTTCGGATTCTCGGCCGCTGAACCACTTGGTTTGCTTTGGCGCCATGAAAATATATCGTGGTTCTTCTTCTGTTTTTCTTGCGACGTTTTCATACAATGTGAGCTGTCGAAGTTTTAATTGCTCGACATCTTGTTCAGTACGGAGTTGTCTTTCCTTCAAATCTTGGATTTCCTGTTTCAAAGATTTCTCGATAGCTTCCAGGGCGTTTAAAAGTTTACTCTGTACACATATCTGTGAAAAAAGTAAAAATATATATTTCAACTATAGTTTATCTAATTTGTCAAGAGTCTCAGTATATCTTTTCACGAACCATCAAATAACACAACATTTACACTGTACTTGTAAGAAGAATACTGCTCTTTTTCTAAATTTTATTGTTAATTAATTTAATTCCCATGGAATGTGTACGTTAAAAATAGTACATGCACATATACGACTATATACATGCACGTATGCGTGCCAATATGCTCTTGTTCTTATAATTATTGACTGTATGTTGCAACATGTTGTTGGAGTTGTGGAACTTTGAACTAATGGTTGTTGCTCAGGCTGACTAATGGCACATTGCCACTTCTGATGAGGGTATAATAAATATAGTAGCCTGCGTAGCAGGCGGTATTCGCGGGCACAAGAGAACGGGCAGCTTGAAATACCGCCTGCCCAAAAACTACACATTCTGAATTCTCCGGCAGCTGGGTGACAGAGCATTCTGACTGGTCAGAATGTTGATTTTGAATTTTTGATTGACAGGAGTTAAAGAATTAGAATAATTAGTGCTAATTTTAGAAGTTAATGTTGTCGTATTAACTATTGTTATTTTCGTAATTGATACCGATCCATCGAGTGACGGGCATACACTAACGATAAAATTAAGGAATGTATTAATGAGAAAGCATTGAATTCGATTCTTTATCTGGAATCGGTAATCCCATCGTCTTGAAAAATGAACAAAGATACTGTATCAATCCAACATTTTTTGCTTGATATAGATGTGACTGAAGTGGAAATACCGTGATAGAAATAAAAATACCGTAAAAAAAGAGGCATTTAAAGATGCACGCTCTAAGTAGTGTTTTTGATAGCGATTCGAACAAGACTATTATACAAAGAAGATACGTCCGAAGGGGCCGAAGTTATGTTCGACGAAAGGTATGGCTAGTCTATATTTTTGTTCAGACAATTGCGTAATTTGATAATATACGAACTCGCTTGACTTTCAAAGCTCATAAATCGCTATAATGTTGATATCGACTAATACTATCGCTATGAACGAGGACATATTGTTACACTGAATCGAACATGGTATTCTTGAATGTCTTCATAGCATTCAATGAACCGAATATATGAAACGTCAAAGTCGTATATTTGCACTGGTGCAATTAATACGTGAAAGAGTTTAACAAACACATTAAAATGGGCGGAACCCATGCGTTCGGTGGGTGGAACTCAGAATAATA